AGGAAGAAAATGCAAGGTAAGAGTCACCAGACAGTCTTGTCCAAAATCCACTCAGACAAACTGCATAAGGCTCATAACCTAGGAATAGCCCGTGATTCTTGTCTGTGCCCTCTGTACTTGTGGCTTCACTCAAAGCCCTCAGTTTTTATGAAGGGCAATTCTTGTCTGCTCTGAAATGATCTTAATAGTCTGTTTCCTGCCCGTAGAATTTTGCTTGCCCAACAGCCTTCCTCCCTGCTTGCTCCCGCCCCTCACTAGGTCTATTTTTAAAACCTTTTCTTTTTCTCTGTTTCTTCAATCCTACTTAGTGTTTCTCAATATAACAGTCTCAAATGCTTTGTGGGTCACAATGATTCACTCCACTACAAAGAGCTTCTTCGATAGATATTTCCTAAACAATCCTGCCCTGTTTTTGTTTTTCTGAGATGTGGGAGGGATCTATGAATCATATCATTCTTCAAAATACCCACAGTTATGACTAGATTAAAAAACATTTTACTGATTCTCTTTGAGTTTCAAATCCTGCACCCCAACCCCACTCATTTCCCCTACCCCTCCATATCTGCCCTCTGCCCTTGCAACACCCCCCAGGGAAAAATTAAAAATGACAAAAAATAAAATGAAAATTAAAAGAAGATAGAAAAAAATAGCATCTCACTATGGAAGCCGTGGTGTGCCATAGTGTCAGGGTGTGTCACTCAGTCTGCCCTTTGGCCCAGAAAGGTTTACTTGCGAATGTTCATTGCAGTGAGTCACTGGTCTGGTTTGAGATCTCCGGCTTCCGCTATCTATCAATACTGGATTCTTGGACTCCTCTCAGATATCCTTTTGTTGCCCTGTGCCATGGAGGTCCTGCAACTTTGCAGGATCAGTCTCTTCACATGCTCCAGCCGTTCTCTGCACCCCACCCAGGGCCAGGTCTCCTGTTCTACCCAGGTGAGGAGTGGGGCCAGCTGAAGCATGAGTTCTAATAGGTTCTAATAGGTCTTAATACAAAACAAACAAACAAACAAAAAACCCTCCAAGTCAGCTATCAGGGGATGAAAGCTGAAGGATCAGAGAAGCAAAGGGACCAGCCACTAGAGAGTTCTTACCTCTGCCAATGCTATGCTCAGACTGCATCCTCATACTGACTGCTTCAGGCTAACTGCTCTCAGGCAGCCTGCTTCAGACTGACTCCTACCCTACCTAGACTGCACCTGTTTCTACAATCCTCAGATTGCATCTATATCTTGTCTCTTCCTGCCTTATATTCCTCTCTCCACCCAGCCCTATCACTCCTGTCTCTACCAACTTAGTGCTGGGATTAAAGGCATAAGATCCCAAGTGCTGGGATCACCTTGTTGTGAGTTCCATTTCTCTGTTAGACAGATTCAGTCTCCTGTAACCCAGGGTAGCCTTGAACTCATAGAGATCCATCTGCCCCTGTTTCCAGAGTGCTATGATTAAAAGTATGTTTCACCACTACCTGGCCTCTATAACTAACTAGTGTGGCTAGCTCTGCTCTCTGATCCTCAGGCAAGTTTTATTTGTTAGATCAATAGCAAAATAATACCATAGTCAGCTCTCCCATACTGACCAAGCAAGGGTTAAAGTCAGCTTTCCCTAGTGCCAGCCTGTGAGGGGCAGGGCCAGCTCTGTACAGGGTCAGATACCAACCAGATGGTAGGTAGTCCAGACCAGAGACAGCGCCATGGTCTGGGTAACGTGGTTCATGGACATCCACCCAGACCTCTACCACTGCTGCAAGACCACAGACCCAGACAGGGCTCTTGGTGGTAGTACTGGCCAGGACATCTCCATGGCTTCAGGTATTGACATGACCACAGCAACTCTTATAAAACTTTTATCTGGGGCTGGCTTACAGTGTCAGAGGTTTAGTCCATTATCATCCTGGCAGGATATGGCAGTGTGCAGACAGATAGCGTGCTGGAGAAGGAGCCTAGAGTTCTACATCTTGATCCACAGGCAGGGGGAGTAAATTGACACACTGGGCATTCCTTGAGCATGTATAAGACCTCAAAGCTCACCTCCACAATGATATACTTGCTTCAACAAGGACACACCTACTCCAAGAAGGCCACACCTCCTAATAGTGTCTCTCCCCATGGGCCAAGCATCAAACACTTGAGTCAATGGGGGCAGGGCATTCTATTCAAACCACCACACTTTCCAAGAACTAAGATATGATGGTCATACTTAAAATGGCTAAGAAGATTATATGTATATGTGTATATATACATATATATATATATTCAAATAAGAATGCCCAGCCACAAACTTCTCTTTACCCCTCCAAGGAATATGTTCCCACAGTGTACCTCAATTTCAGCATCTTTCACAGTCTGGACAGGCTGAAAATCCCCCATATTGTGAGTCCTGATTTTGTTTTAATATTATTTTTTCATTTTACACTTTATTAAAGTAACAAGAAACCACCTTCATCACTTCACTTGGAAATCTCAAATAAACACGAACCTCCTGTCTTCAAGTGGCAAAACACATGTTCCTTAATTTATTTGGGGCCCTCCCTAGCAGTACTTTTGATATATGCATTTTTACAGTTTATGATAACTTAGGTATGTCTAAGATATTACAGAAGTTTTTATGGTCTTCACTTCTTGTTGACCCTTCATCTTTGATATCCATATTTTTATTAATCATTGAAAGCAATTTAAGCCTTTTCCCCCCCTCAAATTCTTGAAAATCCTTCCTACCTGTATAACAATTACTGAAATATTTTCAGTATTTGTGAAGACAATTTGGAACCAGAAAAATATTCTTGGTTGACTGAATTGTCTTTCAATGTCATTTTAGTTGGAAAGGGGTCTCTTCATTGTCTAATTGAGACTAAGTGTAATAGCCTTGTTTTTGTTCTGAAGGGAAAATGTAAAGAAAGAGAGTTTGGGGTGCTAAAATCTGTATGTAATCTCTATTGGTGGTATATTTCTTAATTTAGTGGCACACACACACACACACACACACACACACACACACACACCTCTTCCAACCCTCCTTTTTGAAGAGCCCTTTGTTTCTGGTTGCTTGGAAGAAGTATCTGTTTCCTTTCTTTCTGAGCCTGGAAAGACCATGTGCACCTGCAGAGCTAATCTGGGATCTACCCAGGCTACACAGTGCTTTTAAAGCCAGCACAGGTAGCATAGTGAAATTGTGTCTCAAAATAAAAAGAAGTTCCCCCTAGGAATAAAGCTTAGGGTTAGAGCACTTGCCTAGTGTGAGTGATGTCTAAGGTTCAATTCTATTACTCCCATAAGTTAATAATAAATAACCAAGTGAATAAGTAAATAATAAGCAATATAATGAATGGTCCCACTGGTTGCCAAGACACAGAATAAAAACCATTCCCTAAATTCATCTCTGAAAATTCATACTCCACATGATTAAAAAAATTCCCCAAACTATTGGGGTAGGAGATGGTAGAAAAATAAAAGGAAAATGGTTTTCAAGGAAAATGGTTTTCAAACTTTGAAGGGAAATTATTTCCAATTTAAAATTCTGCATCATCAATTCTCTATCAAATGTGTAAAATAGTGATATTTTCTATTGTGCAACAGTCTCAGAGACTTCCTAGTATCTTCTCAAGAGGCCATTAGAAATTGTGATTTATAAAGGGATCTGGAAATGAGAGAACATGACATAGAAGAGAGGGATGACTAACTAGGATGACAGTCACACAGCCAAAAGCAGCATGCTCATCTTGAAACAGGAAGTTGGATATTCCCAAGGAAGGATGTTGACTGGCATCTTTTGTGGTTGTTGTTGTTGCTGCTGCTGTTTCGAGACAGGGTTTCAGACTGGCGGTTTTGAATGAGAAATTTACATGACTTACAGAGTGTGGACTGTGATTCTAAGTGTACATTGAAGCATAGAATATGCTTCCCCCCCCCAAGGTGGGGGAAAATGAGTCCAATAATGTTCACAAGTACATGGTAATGTAATATGACAGATTTATGGCTGTAATAACATGTTGGGAAGATGAAAGGTAAAAAAGAATGGAGGAGGGAGGCATGGGGAAGGAGGAAGAATGCAATCTACTTTTCCATAGCAGAAAGCCAGAAGATAATATTCAAAACAAAACCACCTAGAGACAAGCCATACACCTGTTTAAAAATGTGGGAGCAAACTGGAAGGAGAGGATGGATGGATGGATGCTGGGAGACTGAAAATACCTATCACTTAAGGAAAAGCAAGACAGAAGAATATAGAGTTTGGTTACAACAAAAAGGATTCAAATAAAATCTCTCTCTGTCTCTCTGTCTCTGTCTCTGTCTCTCTGTCTCTCTGTCTCTGTCTCTGTCTCTCTCTGTCTCTCTCTGTCTCTCTCTGTCTCTCTGTCTCTCTCTCTCTCTCACACACACACACACACACACACACGTACTGTGCCAGCAGTCTGAGTTCACAGCTGTTTTGGGGTAAGGTCTGAGGATGTGGTACTCCATAAAGAACTCTATTAACTTCTGGCTCTCTAGACTGTCTTAAGGGTTACCTGAGAGTAAAACTGAGATGTCGGGAGAAGTTAATTAACTATTCCAAATTTACTCATCTGAAAACCGAAGACAATTATAAACCAAGCTAGGAAGTATGGTGTGAACGGGAAAGGTGTGTGTGTGTGTGTGTGTGTGTGTGTGTGTGTGTGTGTGTGTGTGTGTGTGTGTTGAAAACAAACAAAATCCAACCATTTTTGGTCCTTGAAAAAGAGGACACCTGTCAAGGGTGTTGCGGTATGAATCAAAACAAGTTTTTTCCTCTTACATATGAAACCCTCAGGTCCTTTCAACTCCCATCTCGTTTGGTGCCCCTCCTCGAGGTGTCTTTTGCCAGTGATGCCTGAAATTTAGTGTCTGTATGAATAGAAGAAGAAAGGGAATGGAAGGGGGTTGCGGTGGCGTTAGGGTGAGCTGAGCGTTCAGCTAGTGCTGAGCTAAGGGGAAACGCCTCTGAGGCAGGAGAGAAACTGGGAGGAGCCCAAGAGGTCATGGACTGGAGCAATCAAAGTCTCCTCGATGGCCGCCCGGGGATGCACGTTGTCTCTGTGGCTGTGGCTGTGGTCGCCCCTGCTGCTACCACTGCTGCTGGGGGCGCGAGCTGACGCAGCTCGATGGAGTGGGGAGGGCACCACGCCGCATCTGCAAAGCATCTTCCTGGGCCGCTGCGCTGAGTACACCACACTGCTGAGCCTCCAGCCCGGGTAGGTGCTAAGCCAGAAAGGGAAAAGGGAGAGAGGGTGGCTTTGGAAAGTCAGCCAGAGGGATTAGCGGGTCTCCATGCGATTCTCAGGGACAGGGGCCTAAGTGCACAGGTTCCCCAGGTCCAGGAGATTGTAGATGAGGCTGAGCTGCCGGTGAAGAGGTGAGAGAGCTGTGTGTGGGAGCACAAATACCAGTCTAGAGTGACTTTGAGTGACTGTGCCTCTCCAGCCAACAGATATCTCTAGCAACAACTGCTGAAGTGAGCACGCTTTGGGAATTCCAGGTCCTCCGGTCTAGAGTAGCTCAAGTTTTTCTCTCCTTATGGCTAAAACCATCACATCCTCCAAACTCCCGTCTCCTTCAGGGCCCCTCCTCCAGGTGTCTTTTGCCAGACGATGCCTCAAGCTTAGTGTTTGTCTGGACTGAAGAAGGGATGGCGAGGGAGCAGGGTGGCATTAGGAAGAGCTGAGCAGCCGGCTAGAGGACTCTGGTTCCCTGTCTTGCACCCATTGTTCTTAATTGTTTTCCCCCTTTGGACCTGCTTTTCGTGTTGTTACACTACCCCTTTCTTGTGCCAGTTGTATTTCATTATTATACATTTCAGAGAGAAAGAGAGAGAGAGAGAGAGAGAGAGAGAGAGAGAGAGAGAGAGAGGGAGGGAGGGAGGGAGGGAGGGAGGGAGGGAGGGAGGGAGGGAGGGAGGGAGGGAGGAGGAGGAGGAGGAGGAGGAGGAGGAGGAGGAGGTAGTCGTCTCTCACCAAGGGGAAGAAAAAGGGACCATTGCATAGAAGTGATTTTGAAAGGTGGCTTTGTACCACAGGAGTGAAAATTGTCCCCGGGGGACACTCTGCTTCAGCAGAAGTCACTCCCAGCACTTGTCATCCTCCTCTGTCCTTGCAAGTCTTGCCTCCTGACCTGGTCTCATGGGTCCAGAGACCTGCACTCCAAAGACACCACTCTTGTGTCTAAAAGAAGAGACAAAAGCTAGAGATGTGTTTCAGTGGTGGAATACCTGACTAATAGCATGGCCCTTGATCTCTCTCTCTCTCTCTCTCTCTCTCTCTCTCTCTCTCTCTCTCTCTCTCTCTCTCTCTCTCTTACACACACACACACACACACACACACACACACACACACACACACACACCATCTGCAAAACAGAGGCTGCACAGTTTATTGAAAATGAAACTGTCACCTTCTGCCTTTAATCCCAGCATTTGGGAGGCTGGTGGATCTCTGAGTTCAAGGCTAGCTTGGTCTACAGAGTGAGTTCTGGGTAGCCAGGCCTACACAGAGAAACCCTGCCTCAAAAACACAAACAAAACAAACAAAAAACACAAAACAAAAAGGAAAGGAAAGGAACTGTCACCTTCTAGTTGTGCTTCTATCTGTGCCCTGTTCTATTACGTCACTAACCTGGGAAAACCATATTGCTTAGACCGGAGAACGCCGCTTTTCCTCTCACAGTGGAAGTGTTTCACAGTGCGTTGTGGTGCATTCCGAGTTTTCATTTTATAATTTGCACTGTGTGTGTGTGTGTGTGTGTGTGTGTGTGTGTGTATGTGTGTGTGTGTGTGATGTGTCTGTGTCCACACAGAGGCCAGATGGAAACACTGGGTGTCTTGTTTGATAATTTTCTAATTCTATCATTTTCTAGTTCCAAAGCTAGAGCTAGCCTGGCAGCCAGCAGGCCCCAGTCATTCTCGTTTCCACCTCACACAATGCTGGGGTTAGAGGCACAGGCAGCCACATGGACAGGGGTAGGGGTGGGGAGGTGCGGGGGTGGGCATTGAACTCAGGTCCACCACAAGAGCCTTACCTTCTGAAGCCTCTCCCCAGTTCTGACTGGCACCTTTTGAACAAAAACTGCACAGCCATCTGGGAAGCCTTCAAGGTGGTGCTAGACAAGGACCCCTGCTCTGTGCTTCCCTCAGACTACGACCTCTTCATTAACCTCTCCAGGCACGCCATTCCTAGAGACAAGGTGAGGACAACCGCCTCAAATATGGCCAAGAAATGTATATTTTTAAGTTTGTGCTGCATTTTTTCTTTGTTGGTAAAAAGCAGAGGCATAATTTAGAATTGTACATCTCCTAGAGGCTTAGTGAGCTAGTTGATGAACATAACAAATGACTTATTGGAATCCTTCTGTGTTCCTGGTGTCGCATTAAGGGTTAGGAATAGCAAGGAAAATACAGTATTTATAGCCCTTCCAGTCTAAAAAGAACCTGAACTACTGAGGACCGGATGAGACAGCTGCCAGGAATAGTGCTCTATGAAGACACTATTTACTCTGGAAGGTACCAGATGTGTGTAAAGAATGAGGTGTGCACTGTGCATTCTAGGAAGGACATCACACAATTGCTTATCACCCTAATCACAGCTACAACATGAGGTCAAAGACTTCTGCTTCTTATTTTCCTAACCAAGCCTTGGTCAAAATCACACATCTAGCATAGGACAGAGCCAGGCTTCCAGTCCTAGTCCCTTAATCACGCTGCTGGGAAAATATGTCATTATCATCTATATCAGTGGTTCTCAACCTGTAGTTTGCAACCCCTTTAACAAACTTCTATCTCCAAAAATATATTCACATTATGATTCATAACAGTAGCAAAATTACAGTTACCAAGTAGCAATGAAGATAATTTTATGGTTGGGGGTCACCACAACATGAGGAACTGTATTAAAGGGCTGCAGCACTAGGGAGGTTGGGAACTACTTGTCTGCATTGTGTGTTTGTAATACAGGGAGGAGAGAGGCAGCACTCTTCAAACATGCAGTAGCCACAAAGAAAAAGAAAGCAGTAGGCTCGCAGCAGGTACAAATTCCATGACTGCTGATTTGTCATGATGACAAACTGCAATGTGTTTTCATTTCCTTTTGCATTTTAATTCCTGGTTGTTTCTCATCAGTCGCTGTTCTGGGAGAATAACCACCTACTCGTTATGAGCTTCTCAGAGAACACCCGTCGCTTTATGCCCCTATGTGATGTTCTGTATGGCAAGGTTGGAGATTTCTTGAGTTGGTGTAGACAGGAAAATGCCTCTGGTAAGATTTTTCACACATTACCATATAGCAGCAGCTCCTCTATCTGCAAATTTACCTTTGATGCTGGATATTTTCATATATGTTCATCTCATTTAATTCTTCCCAAATCTTCTGAGATAGGTGACATCTATAGTAATGGGTAATAACAATAATGGGTAGAGTGTACTTACCTTTATTGCAGGCTTGTAAGTATTTTAGACACATTAGTTCTAGAATCCACACATTATCCTCTGTCATCCTATCACTATTCCTAATTTGGCAAGCGTGGAAACTGAGGCGTGGTTTGATTAAGGGAGTTGCCTAGGAATGTCTATTCAGTAAGCCATGTAATCTCACAATCTGACCTCAGAGCCTATGAGTGCAATCAGGACTCTGCCTTCAAGTCTTTATTTTCCAGAGGGGAAACTGAGGCTCAAAGAAGGTAAATACACTGTGCATGTTGCTTAAAATGCTAAATATGGAATTAGCAAGTACTTTACATTAATACAGTTTCCAATATGAAAGGTATTTGTGTGCTTTTCTCCTAGGATTTGATTACCAGTCCTGCCCCACATCAGAAGACTGTGAAAACAATGCTGTGGACTCCTATTGGAAAAGTGCATCCATGCAGGTAATCCTGGGATGGGTAAGTGAGTGTTGAGCATGCGTGGAATCTATGAACTGGACCCCAGGCTGTTACCTAATTTCAGTGAGTCTTCCTTTCCACTTTAATGATTTCTCTGACTCATTTTCTCTGCTCTGCAGAGTTGTGAGGGTTTAAGGAGATAAAATATTTAATGCAGTGGCCAGTGCAGAAAAAAACGTTTCACAAATGTTAGTTATACACAGCGAGAGTGCATTGTCAGCATTTCTGTCACACTGCGATTGTGAACTTCGGGTACTTCCTAGTGTTGTGTAAAATGGGAGTAATCTCTGCTTTACCAAAGAGCCTGGGACACTGGAGACTTAGATGTGGGTATCAGAAATGTTCACAGAGTATCATTAATGGAAGAAGAACCAGTCAGCTACCAATAAGCTGGCACCACAGAAATGCTCCTAAGGCTTGTCTGTATCTCAGAGGATATTGCCACAGAGTTGATGGTGGCTGTCAGCAGTTATAAAATGATGTCATTTATTGCTGACATCCCCTGCCTCAAGCATTGGACTAAAGATTAGAAATAAGGAGGGTGAAGTCTTTAGTTAAAGGCTGATGATTAACTGTCTGTCATGCTGATTAAGAAGCAAGTAAAGAAAGTCCCCTTTCAGAAGTGATGTGTCCTTGCCTCCCATTGTCTGCTTTGCTCTCCAGTTGTTCCTTGGGTCCATCGATTGGGTGAAGGACTTTGATCAAACCTTCCACCAGGGCAAAGCACAGAGCCTCACGCTGAGCACTGTGTACTCCTGACAGCTTCAGTGGGAGCAGTGTTTGCTCCTGCTTTCCCAGGGCTTCATCTGAAATACAGGCTCCAGTAGCTGCCAAAGTCTGTTATTGGGAACTGGAAGGCTTAACACCTCTATAGAGGTGCCATAGCAATGCCGTCTGTAAAAGACCTGTAACAGGCTGGAGAGATGGCTCAGCAGTTCAGAGCATCGGCGGCTTTCCTAGAAGACCCAGGTTCAAGTCCCAGCACATGGCAGTTTACAGCTGTCTGTAATCCAGCTCCAGGTGATCTGACACCCTCACACATACATGCAGGCAAAACACCAATGCATATAAAATAAAATGAGTCAATCATTTAAAGAGAGAGACCTGTAAACAGATATTAAATTGCATTTGAGAGGCAGAGGCAGGCAGATCTCTGAGAGCTTGAGACAGCCTGGTCTACACAGCTAGAGTTCCAGAACAGTTAAGGCTACGCAAAGAAAGCCTGTCTTAGCTTAGGTGGTGGTGGCGAACGCCTTTAATCCCAGCACTCTGGAGGCAGAGGCGGGCAGATTTCTGTGAGTTTGAGGCCAGCCTGGTCTACAGAGCAAGTTCCAGGACAGCTAGGGATGCTACACAGAGAAACCATGTCTCAGGGGGAAAAAAGGAACAAAAGAAAACCTGTCTCAAAAAATAAATGAAAGAAAGTTGTAGCATATGCCACCCTGAATCTGCCTAACTTTAATGTATGTGCTCCAACTGCGTTTTATTCATGGAAGCTACTATTAGTACCTCCATTTTAAGAATAAACTAGGTGGGTGAAGCAAGAGCAAAGCTAATCCAGTACATTAATGACAAGCTTGACCCTTATAAGTGGTCAATACATATTGCTGTTACTATTATCATTTGTGGCGCTGGGGACCGCACTTAGGGTTTTGAACCTAAGGTTCTACCATGAGCTACATGCCCAGGCTAAATGTTGTTATGTAGTAGGAACTGTACACCAGTCCCTTGAAGTTCCAAGCTGGTGAGCATGTTTTGGTCTTGCAAGCATGTCTGTGTGCAGTGCTTGCGGTGGGACTTCGTATTGTTCACCAAAGACAGCTGGCTTATTTTCTGCACCTGCGGTTCGTACTGCTTCTCGCAGTTATTTGCACGTGGCTTACATGGGCCAATGAGACGTGAGTGAGAGTGACATCTGTCACTCGTAGGATGGGTCACTGGCCCTTTTCTCTTCCTGGCAGTTAACAGCTTTGCAGGTGGGAGGCTTCCTCAGGGTGAGGAAGTGCCAAACCACCAAGAGCCTGTGGTGAATGTTCAGTGGGGGCATACAGTGAATCTTCATGGGAAGCCACTGCCATGTTGAGGCTGTTTGTCACGTCAGCTTAGTCTAGTTTATTCTAGCTGACATGATGTCATGCATTCCATATCATATCCTTAGGCTAAGGCACCTAACATGGAATCACTGAGTAGGGGACTGAGTAGGGGTCGTTGAAGATGATTTGATTCTCCAAATAAACCAATTTGCATCTCTACAGCCATGTGAAATGCCAATTTGCCCCCATTGATAACTGTCAATTAAAAAAGTAAAACAAAGTTGCTATTAACACACACACACACACACACACACACACACACACAATGATGTGACTTCATTTTCTCAAAACTCTGTTTCTTCTTGCAGTATTCAAGAGACAGTTCTGGGGTGATCAATGTCATGCTGAATGGCTCAGAGCCCAATGGAGCCTATCCCGTGAGAGGGTAAGAACAGCAACACCCAAGGACTAGAAAGTCACCCCAGTTCCGATTTAACGCTTGCTTTTGTAAAGTCAGGTAAAGTGAAACAGTTGTGTGATGTGGTACATGTGCTCATTAGAGGCACGTCTGTACAGCTAAGTCATTAACAGCTGACAAATACACGAACAAGTATCCACATTTCGAGAGTAGAAGAACAGCTGGAGGGATATAGGTCAGCGGTAATGCTTGCCTTCCAAACAGGACCTCTCTCTGATCCCTAGCACGCAAATGAAAAATCAGGTTGTGGTGGCACATTTGCAATCCAAGTGTTGGGGCACCCCAACTATTTCAGCCATCCTAGCCTACTTGTTCCAGTTCTAGGCCAGTGAGAGACTGGAGAGCACCTGATTTTATACTCCAGCTTACATATGCTCCAACATATACATAAACACATACATGTGCACAAAATGTAAAAAGAAGCCTAGACACTTTATTGGCAGTGTGGGACAGAGTCTCTCTGAATAGCCCTGGCTGTCCTGGAATTTACTATGCAGACCAGGCTTGCCTCAAACTCTAAGAGATTCAACTTGCCTCTACTTCCTGAGTGCTGGGTTTAAAGATGTGCACCACCTCATCCAACTTTCCTAGAAACTTTTAAAATAATAAATGTCTAAATAAACTAAAAGCTCAAATGGAGAGTGATCATATGGTGTTAAGACTCGAAGAAAGGTTCTCCTGGACTGGAGACAGGTCTTGATGTCAGAGAACTTGCCTAACATATACACATTCAACACCATGGAAGAACAAAGAAAAATAAATGTCCTTTCTGTCTTCCAGGTTTTTTGCAGATTTTGAAATCCCATACTTACAAAAGGATAAAATCACAAGAATTGAGATCTGGGTCATGCATGAAGTTGGGGGACCCATTGTGTAAGTTATGGGGCTTGGGTAATAGCTGTGAGATCTTGCTTTGCTTGCCTACGGTCTGATCGGGAGTCCTTTTGCACTTAGCTTTAGGGACCTGCCAGCCTTCTGCTTCTAATGCAGCTGGTGGAGAAGGATGACTGTTGGGAATGCTGGCTCACTCTCTGTTATATGCCAGGCTGATTTTTATGAGTGGCGTGGGAGATTTGGGTAAATGAGGTTCTTACACATCTGTGAGGGTCAAAGCCAGTTTTCCTTCCCTCCTTCCTTCTTTTCTTTTCTTTTTTTTTCTCTTTGTATCTCTTGAAGGCTCGTTACCTCCCCAGGGTTTTCAGTTATCAACCCAGTGTTCTGTGGTGAAGCCTTGCTCTCCATGGTGCAACCACTTCTGCAACTAGGTGCTAGCTAACCAGTGAGGACCAGGACTTGGAAGAACTATATCTTCTCAGAAACTGAGTTTATACATAAGCAAGTGTAGAACTCATCTTTTTCCTGGATGAACGCACTTCCAAGCAGCCTAAGATAACACCCACCACTGGCTTGGCTCCCGCTTTACAAACAGTTCTACCCTGTGGCTTAACTAATGCCAGATCAAACAATTAAGCCCATTTAGTCCAGAAGCTTGGTGATGAGGCCACAGCCTGTTTCAAACTGTGTGGTAACTTCAGAGGAGAGCTGGGCCCTGTTCTTCAGAGCCTTGATGCTGCATGGAGGATAATATTGCCAAACCCCACGGGCCTGTCGCTCTGCCTGACGGTGTAGGCTTCCCAGAAGCCACAGCTCCTAAACCAGAAACTTCCCTGCGTTCCCCTTGAGAGCAGAACATCAAGGAGTGGCAGAATGATCTTTGTCGGTACTGAAACAGCTTCTGCTACGTTTTCCTCTTTCTTTATTTTTCAATTGTTTTTTCAGTGATTTCTTTCTTTTTTTTTTTTTTTTTTTTTTTGGTTTTTAGAGGCAGGGTTTCTCTGTATTGTTTTGGAGGTTTTCCTGGAACTCGCTTTGTAGACCAGGATGGCCTCGAACTCACAGAGATCTGCCTGCCTCTGCCTCCTGAGTGCTGGGATTAAAGGCGTGCGCCACCAATGCCCGGCTTTTCCTCTTTCTTTAATCTGCTTATTTAAAATATACATCGGTCTGTGTTTTAGGGAATCCTGTGGCGAAGGCAGTGTGAAAAATCTGGAAGACAGACTGGAAGCCCTGGGGTTCCAGCACAGTTGTATCGATGACTACCGGTAGGTGGCGCTGTGTTATAACCACTTTGAAGGGTTAGAGCAATTTAAAGGGTTGGTTCGCAGGTATCCATTCCAAAGGCCCGGGATGGTGGCTTTTGGGTTGCCTACGGATGTGGGGGAAGGGAGAACCTTCCGGAGCCCCCTTTTTTTGGCCAGAGTTCATTTTAACAGCTGGGGGATACTAATAGCAGCAATTTATCATGTACCCATGTGCACTTCGTTCCTACAGCCTCGTTGATGTGTGATGATATTGGGGACCAAGGGCTAGGCTTCCCCCACATCTTTAGATCGCAGTACCAAAGCTACTGAGATGGGCGTTTGATAGATGGGTCTCGGCCATAGACAGTATGAAAAATCATAACTCATTTTATAGATCAAGGTGGCCTTGAACTCCACCTGCCTCTGCCTCCCAAGTGCTGGGATTAAAGGTGTGTGTCACCACCTCAGTTCTTAGGTACTCAAGCCTGGTGGCTTTTCAGGGGCTGGAGTTCAACTCGGGCAGGCTTTCTTAGCACTAACGGGTGTGCCTGGGTGGAAATGGAATCGGGGGTATTCTTACCCAACACCATCATCTTGTTATCTTGCTGCTTCTGCCTTCCCAGAATTGTATGAGCTCTATCATTTTCCCAAGGGACCAAAGTCTCTGGATGTGTGGGTGACGCCATCCCTGTTCCAGGCCTCCTTGACCCTAACCAGTGCCTTCTTGCTCATTGTTGCTCATGCAAATGCAAAGCTTAGGTACCGTCCACTGTCCTCTTTTAAAAGCAAAACTCAGCAAGTACCTTTTCTGGACATCTAACCTATATACAGGAAAATGTACAAATTTACATACAGAGTTGGATGATCAAGTTCAGTCTGCCTCAGCCCTCAGATAAGAAGAACACTAACAGCACGGAGTGTCTGCCAGTCTCACTGTTAGGCATAGCTGTCTGCTCCTGTGGTATCACTGGCTAGATTTGTAATGTCGTGGGCTGGTTTTGTCTGTCTTTAGACCGTAAAAGTTCCCTGTAGATTAGTCACAGAGGTTAAATAACTAGCCCAAGGTCAATACTCAAGGTCAAAGTTGATTTTTGAACCCAACTTTGTGTAGCCTTGAAACAAAGCACCCCCTACTAATGTCCCTTCATGAGTCAAAGCAAGGGTTTTAGAAATACATCTAAACAGACCATTCTGACTGCACTACAGCTCAATGTTAGGGCAAGTTGTGGCTACAGATTGCAGAGTTACCACCACTTTTCTCTTGCCTAAGAACTCTCTAGAAAGACTCTTTCTTCAGTCACCAGGCTGTGCTGTATGAGTCAGGCCAGAACCAGATCACAGCTGTCGTGGCTTCCAGCCTGTTTCTCCTCTCTTGTGTGATCTCCACTTCAGCTGGATGCTGCTTCTTGAACTCCAAGCCTCACTCAGATCCTGGCTGCTATTCTGTGTTAATGTTTTTTTCTTCTCCCTGGGTAGCCAAGAAAACTACAAAGGTTAACCAAACAAAGGTCATGCAAATGCATGTAAGGGTCTCTCAACCCTCAAAATGCAACGGAATCGCCTTTTGTCCTGTGTCAGCCAGAGTTCAGGGTCCTTGGGGTTGCTGGTGGAGCCTTGTCTCTCCATAGACTGTCTCCTCCTAGTTGGTGTCTGATAATACCATATTGTATCAGACTCAGAGAAAGCCTGTCTTTGGGGAAAAAATAGCAGCTACATCTATTTTTATAAATATGTATGGACAGATTTTATCTATTGTCCCAGGAACTCATAAGACCAAAGTAGGAAGATGACTAGAGCTCAAGGAGTTCAAGACCATCCTAGGCAACATAGTGAGGCAATACCTCAAAATCCATTACTAATAAAATGTATGTTTGTACAGTAGACACCACTGCAGGATAGGTAAGTCTAAGCAGGGACCACAGAGCACGCATGCACCGAGTGACAGGGTAGCTCTCCCACATCTCTCCTGTCATATGGTCATAAAGGCATTGTCGTGGCCTGCCTTGTTACTCATGCCTTGCGTGTCACTGTCACCTGCTCCTGTTTCCATTGCTGCTTTCCTTCCCTCCTGGTTGCCTTGGAACTTCACATTTTCTGCTCGGTTGTGCTAGGCAGTTGGCATCCTTTGCTGGAGTCAGAGCATGGCCATCATCGCTCGTGTCCAACCTTCTGTCCAAAGTAGGTATCAAAAAGGTTTTCCTAATAAAGTAGTGTGTGCAGCCAGGAAAAATCTGGACGAGCCTAAAAGATTCAAGGTTAGCTCTCTGACTCATGATGCTTTCCAAGTTATGAGAACATGGGAAAATCACTGTGGGCAGCTTTAACTGCAACAAATTGCAGTTGAAAATAGGATCGACGCCATTGGATGATTGAAGGGTTACATGACATCTGAATAAAACACACAATCAAAATTTATGGTACATAGTCAGTAAATGCTTTTGTGAGAAGGGGCTTGAGATAAGGGTCTCATTGTGAAGCCCTGGTTCTCCTGGAACTCCTTATGCAGACCAGGAGGGCCTCAAACTCAGAGATCTGCCTGCCTTTGCCTCCCTCCCTAATGCTAGGATTAAAGGAGTGCCGCCATCCCCAGCCTACCTAATGTTGTTTGTAAAGGAGAGGCTAGTGGGATCGTCAGGGATGCGTGTTGTGCTTCCGGACCTTTTCAGGCTCATCATAAATATTTCATGGGTGGAAGCCATTTGGGCAATCTCTTAAGGATTGTTTCCTCCTTGTAGACCAGTGAAGTTCTTAATGTGTGTGGACCACAGCACTCACCCGGACTGTGTCATGAACTCGTAAGTAAATGGCTTCAATCAGAACCTAGGTGAACTGCAGTGAACACTGTTTTTCTTTACTCAAAGTAGGGAGATCACTGTTTCTGTATTCCCATGTCCCCTGGCACATGAGTGCATCTGTACATATATAAGCATGGTCACACACACACACACACACACACACACACACACACACACACACACACACACACACACACACGCCACAGACATAGATCTCTTATATCAGTTATAATGAATGATACGATGATAGGATTCTGGGATTTGCTTTTTTCACTTAACAGTATGTCTTGAAGATGTTTCTATAATTTTAAGAAAATAAATTTAGGGCTAGAGAGATTGCTCAGTGGTTAAGAGCACCAGCTGCTGTTCCAGAGGGTTTGACTCCCAGCACCCACATGGTGACTTACAATCATCATTAACTCCAAAATATGTCAAACCAACATCTCTAGCACAGACGCAGAAATACAGTGCAGAGAGAAACAAAAGCTGCATGTTTAATTTGCATATGGTAATGGGGCAGACAACAGAAACAGATCTGAGATGATAAACTCCAAACCACCGATCAAAACTTCTAGATATAAAAATTAAGAATTACAAAAAGATAAAGGCAGATCCTAATAATTAAATGCATTTTTCTCTGTGTTATTTTATTTTGTTGAAAATAAATTAAATGTATCCAGATATTAGTTAATTATTTTAAGGCAAAAGGGTGGGGGGAGGGATTTAGAATGATTCAAGTGTGAACAAGAATTGAATCAGAAATGCAGTTGTAGTGAATGTCCAGCAGGTGGAGCCATTGGCTAATTAAAAAAAAAAAGGAACTCAAAGAATCCTAAGGAAGTTGTGGGTAAGGACCTGGCAACTAGTCCAGAACAGTGGTATTAGTTTCTGAACTAAGATAAGATGGTTTTATAAATTTTAAAGTTCACATTTTAATTGGTTGAAAAGAATTCAATAATTTCTGTTTCAAAGACTCCAAAGGTCAGATCTTCTTTAGTTAAATGGGATTTGGCCAGGCCTTCCCTTGCTTTTTAAAGTTACCACAGGCTTTTCTTAATCGGTTAAATTCTGATGATGCACTATTCACCAATAAGGAACTTGGCTAACACTCTGGAACATTCGTACAACACGAATTCATACACAAGGAAAAAATGAATTGGCTCCGTGTGAACCAGCATGATCTATATCCAAGAGGTGGTGTTAGGCAAGCAAATCGTGTTCCATGTGTTTACACAAAGAGGTGCGTGCGAGCGAGCGAGCAGAGAGAGAGAGAGAGAGAGAGAGAGAGAGAGAGGGTGGGGGGTGGGGGGTGGGGGTTTTCTTGAAAGGACAACTGGAATTATTAGCTGTGATTCTCTGGGAAATTAACAATTTTTATTTTCGGCTTTATGAACTTTCAGCTCTACCTAAACATTTCTGTAGTGTGCATGCATGGTTTTGAAAGCAGATATCACACACTAATGTTGTCTCTGTTTCCCTCATTCTTTTCAGAGCGTCAGCATCTATGCAGAGAGAGAGCCCATCTCTTTATACAACAGGGCATGCCAGCCTGCTCATCTCTCTCTTAGTAGCGCTGACTTGGAGTTCTCAAGTGTGACTAGAAAATCACCACGCTGTTCTAAGAGAACCCAGTCTTGCATCCACCCTTGGACTGTCCACCATGTTCTATGCAGACTAAGGGTGCCCATTGTCTAAAGATCCTCTTCCTTCTAGGAAAATAGCGTAACCAGATGGTAATCCTATTACACTCTAACTAGTCTTACTTGCCAGGCAGAATTTGCTATCACAAACAATTAAAAATAATTGTTTCTTATTTTGATAACACTGGGACCCGGAGTGTCAAATAATCTCATATAATTTTCTCATATATTTTTGGAAGCATCTGTATTTTCTATTTTCTGTATATTCCTGTTTCAGAGCTTCAGATACATGTACAGTATATAAAGGTATACATATATACACGCTATGTAAAGATGGCTACTTATGATAAGCACTGCGAGCTAAAGATACAGAGTTCTGAAGAAGGCAAAGCTATGGGGAAACAGAGGAATGCAGTGGATTCCAGGGCGAGTGGGAGGGGTGTATGAGGAATTGGGGTGAGGCTAAATTAAAGGGGCAGTGCGAGGACCAAGGTGTCTTATGGGAGCCTGCCCTTCTCAAAGCTCTTAGAGCTGTGGGAGCAAATCTCACTGGATGTAAATTTAAAATCTGTGTTTCTAGAGAACATTTAATCAAATAAGAAAATGTTAGTAAGTGTAAAAGATGGGATATAAAACTACTCATGATATGATGCAAGTGTTATGAAGTATAATGACTATGAATCCTATCTTGAATGTGTGTTTGTACAATATGCATACTGTAAATGAATGAAAGAAAATAACTCAAAGGGGCAGTGCAATTGTCTCTGGATAGTAACCTCACAGTGATTTAGTTTTTGGCCTTTGGCTTCTTAATATTTTCTATTTTTTAAAGTATATTAATTTTATAATAACAAAAAATTGAAACCCACACATACACCACATATGTGCAGACATTTTGTCTGACAAATAATATTTCCAGAACACAAAAAAACCAAAACCAGATATATTGTTGCAGATACTTCTGTTCTCTACCTGTAGCAAGTAGGCACGAGTTCCTTGATGCTGATGCGGTTGTGGGGTGGGGTGGGTGGAGGGAGTGCAGTCAGGAGCTTCCCCATACTGTCTCAGAGGAGCTAGTAATCCCTGGAGGCCCAGGTAGCTGCTCTGGCAGTCAGTGCTAAGGTTCCATGTGCCACCCTGCATCGCTGAGTGCGTGAGGTCCTTTCTTGCTGAGGTCACTTGATCCAGGTGAGACCCACAGTCAGTGCTGATGCTTAATTCCTGTGGCCTCTTGAGCAAACATCCCCTGTAAACCTAGGAAACCATGTACTTAAAGATCACTGTGCTCAGCAGAGGTTCACAATTCAGCCTTATAACCATGGAGGGTCATTTCAGACCCTCCCTAGGCTCTCATCCCCTTTCCCTCTTTCTCTTCCTCCTTGTTTCCCTCCCCCATCTATCTCCCTTTCTCCCCATCTCTCTTCCCCCCTCCTGCCCCCACTGCGTGCGTGCATGCGTGCGTGTGTGCATGTGTGTGTGTGTGTGTGTGTGTGTGTGTGTGTATGTTGTGTAAGTCATATAATCACCTTCTAGCTTCCCCAGCCTTCTGTTTCTGACTCCTGGTTCCTCCTCATTCTCTACCTAACTCTGTCCCTTTGGAATCCACACACAAATTTGCTCAGTCAGGGGTTTTCCCTCCAATGTCAAGGTATTTTATCACAGCAATTGAAAACTAAGACAGATCATGTAGATGTGTAGATGCATACATGTTCCCCCCCATGATAGGCTGTATACTTACATCATGATGCTATGCCCTGACACCCTCCAATGTTCTGAGCAGCAATGAATGTTATTTCTTTATGAAGTAGCTCCCAGAGCTGTGTTGTAGTAGTCAAAAGATGGGTACCCCGACAGTCACCTATCCTCATCACTATCGTCATGACTCTAGCTGTCATTTGCTGAGTTATGCAACATGCCTTTCAGCTTTTATATGCAACACACACACACACACACACACACACACACACACACACAGAGGCACTTGGGAGGCCCCCGGATCCCTTCTTCTATACTGGGACACTCTGGGGCTGATGAGTCACCCCGATAAAGGTGGGGAACGTGGTCAGGTTCAGGAAGGAGAAGAAAACAGACTGAGAAGAGAGGCAGTGTAGGGAACAAAGACCCGGCACATGGTAGACGGTTCATGTGGTATAGTCACCATCGCTTATTGTAAAATGCTTCCCAGAGAAGCCATGCCAAGCTTGGTATCTATCACCTAATTCACTTCCTTGCTACAGCCCATGTTTGCCTTGCTTTCCCTTCTGTGTCTTTGAACATGCTTCTCTCTCTGCATTGATCTTCCTTCCTGCTCTGTCATCTACCTGGTGGATATTATGTATGCCCTGCTTACACATTAGACACCACTGAGGACTACTGGGCCTCAGACAAAAGAGGAGAAAAGGGCTCAACTTACTTTGGGGCCAACCAGCTCCTTGGATGTAGCAGCCAAGGGGTGTCTCTTAAGCTGGCTTGGAGAACACTGTCCTCAATCCTTCAGGTTGCCTGGGTTACAGGGGGCCTTGCAAGTCTCCTGCAGCACACTAACCTGGGACTTAGTTAGATGCTGCTCTTTGGAATTCTGTGGAAAAGGGAAACCTCTTCTTTTTCTAAAAATAAAAGTGTTTCTCTTTTTCTGAGTATCCATTTCACTGTCCACTTGAAAAAAATCCACTATAGAAAAATTGAGAAAAAGACAATAAACAAATATTTTCTGCTAACTTATGCAATGTGTCAGTTTCCCCTGTATGTGTTCATATGTGCTTATAGTTTTTAATGTCTGCAACATTGACGGGTACAAGATTGAAGGCGTGTGCCATCACAGCCCGTCGAGAAAGTCCATGTTCTTAAGTCTAGAGTTCAAGATGATGATCTTCCAGTGCTCTCAAGCCACCTTTCTTGCCCGGTGCCTGGGAGACACCTCCCCCCACATGCCTTCTCTCAGTTTCCCATTCTTGACACAGCTTGCTGCCCATCTGTTAGCAGGTAAGGGCCTCCCCTCAATCCTCACAACCAAGACCTCAGCCCAGAGATGGCAAAGCTTACATTCTGAAGAGAGCAGAGGTGGGCTCTGAAGGGTATTGTAACACACTGGGCTGGATAGTGTGGCTTTTCAGGAAGTCTTAGGGTTATTTACGAGATGAGTGGCGTATGTATAGGGTAAGGTGGCCTCCCCACTCGCCCCGCTCCCCCCCAAATAAGGGATAAACTGAATAAGGCTATTGAGTAAATCCTTCCCATGATCCTTTGGAAAAGCCCACAAGAGAAGCTCAAAACCACGATGTGAACGTTACCATAACGAAGCCAGGGCTCTCTGAGGATGTTGACCTGTTCTATGTGGCAACTGGGAAGTGTTCGGGCACCAGCCTCTTATATAGACCCTAGGCAGAGCTTCAAGGTTGTTTAACCACAAAAGATCACTAGAGTGTCAGGACACACAACTGCAGTTTCCTTGGTTACCTCCCATTTAACCCCTTCCTCCCTATCTTACACTAGGCAGCTCTGCCCCTCTTGTTCTAAGTAAGGATTGCAAGAACTCATGAGGAGATAGTATGCATAGTCGATCCAGAAAAGTACGAGAACTGTCTTCAGTACTGTGCAAATGTAGGTGGTTGATTCTATTATTACAGATCTAATTGTTTTATAGTTTTCTGAACACAACCTGCCAGAACAGCACATTGGTGAGCTGCAACTTGGAGTGTGTATAGGTGTTCTTTCCTAACCCACGAAATCCTTGCAATTATGATGCTGCTTTACAGAGGAACATAGAGCATCACAACAAGCCTACTACTTTCTTGCTTAGTCAAAGGCACTTCCCATGGTCTCTGCTTTTCCTTTCCCAAGGCAGAGGGCATCAAGCCTCTGTAGGAGGGAACTATCCTCATGTTTCTTTGTTAATGGACAGATCTCAGCACCAGCAACATCCTGACACACAGAAGATGCATAATGCAGACATGCTGAATGAGTGAATGAATGACACACATTCGACCCGAGAAGAAATGCTATGGAAGTCCCCAGAGCATAAAAGGGAGACTGGTGGACATCTGACAGAACTGTGTTCTTGTTTTGTTCCTGCTCTGGCCACCAGGTTTCCTTCCTGGTCTCCCTACACTTGACTGCTTTCCCTCGAACACAGCAGACTTGACACGCAGGAGACTCCCAGAACCTAAAAAGGAAGCTGTGGGGACATGATGGTGAAGATACTGAGAACATGAAAATGCCTTCAGTTCTCAGGGAACCCCTGGGAGGTTCTGGGAGAACGGTACTCAACTGCATGCCTTCCTACCATGGTCTGACTCATGTGCTGCATTGCAGGCTTGGCTCTCAGGCTGTTGGCTCCACTGAGAGGGGATGGGGCCTTCAAGGAGTACAGCTAAGTGGAGGGAGGTGAGCTATGTCTTTGAGGGGATGCTCTGAGATCTTGACCTCTTTTTTCATTTTGCTTCCTGGCTACCATGAGATGAGCAGTGTCTTCTCCCATGTGCTTTCTTCACAGGGTTCATCACTGGTTCCAAAGAGACGGTCCAGACAACCCTGAAACCTTAGCTCTGATTTAAGCTGATTGTCTACAGCATTTTGTCACAGTGACACCTCACTAACAAATGCAGTCTTCCCTCAACTCCATATATTGTAGCTGCCTTGGCAAACAAATAGAATGGTGGTATTTCCACAGTGAAGCATAGGATCATGACTGTGCTAAATTGACCCCCTTTTCTTCCCGTTAATGACAAGATTTGCAGGGGGTGTGGAACGGCTGTGAGGGGGCTAAGCATCACTTTGGAAAGTAGTCACGTCCCGCTCCAAAGCAAGCTGAGCTGATGGAGGCTATTCAAAATTCTTTAAGACAGAAAACAGAACCCATGAAAATGAAAGTCGCTTGGAGACTTTGCAGTTGCTGGAACTCAAACACAGGCTTGCTTTGAAAGCTAGGTCTCAGACTTTCCCTTCTCAGAAGACTTGGCACCAAGGAAAGGGGCAAACTGAAAGACTCTGGCAGTCAGAGTGTGGAATAGTGTGGAACAATTGTTGAGACAGGGAAACTGCTTTTCAAGACCTGGCGAGGACTCTGAAGAGCCACATTAATAACCAGCCAGGCAGGTTGTAGATTTTGAACTGTGTTAATTCCAATGTAGTCACCATGGGGAAGTCTTACTGGGTTTCTGCTTTCTTGTTAAAATCAATAAGAGGGTATCCCAGTAGTAAGAAGTATGTATTGTTAAAATCTTGGTATTTTGTAGTTTGTTTGTTTTTTCCCCCAAAGTTTCAAAATGCAACATTTTTTTCCTAATGGATATTTCTTCATGATTATATGATTCTGTCCATGGACATTTTGTCATATGGAAGCCGCTAAAATTACCCAAATTCTCCAGGAGAATGACTCATTTGTTTGGGGAAAATGTTTGCTGAAAGCTGATTCAGGTATGTGTGCCTTCCCCATACCAAAGCAGGGTGGTTTATTTTGGTTTCTCCCAACTTAACCCGAATGCTTCTGCACATTTAAGAAAATTTGGCACATCAATCTTACCTCGATGGTGCTTTAAAACTTAATAGTTGCTGGGCAGTGGTGACTCATACCTTTAATCCCAGCACTCAGGAGGCAGAGGCAACTGGATCTCTGTGAGTTCCAAACCTGGTCTACAGAGCAAGTTCCAAGATTGCTCCATAGGGAAATCCTGTCTCAAACAAACAAACAAATAAATAAGGTTTAACAGTTTGAGACTAAGCCCTGGTCAACAAACTTTAAAAGCACATTAAGCCTGTTTGGGTTTTGTGAAACAAAAATTTACAAAAAAACTTGTAACCCTGGGAACACTTTTTTACAGTTGCTGTTACCAATGTAATTCAGGAGCAGAATGAACAGGGGAGCAGTTGCGGGGAGGTGGGGCTTGCACCCACTAATGGATAAGTAATCTAACAATTGATATCTTTTTATGTGAGTGATGAAGATGACCCAGGGAGCCTCGGGATTCAGAGTGGAAGACTCAACCCAGACTAGCATCACGGGAGGAAAACATTGGAAAAAGAGTGTTGGAGACTGGAGAAGTGAGGGTCACACAGCCAGAGGACAGAGGAGAATGAACCAAGTGTATGGGACACTAAAGTGTGCAAAGGTTTATATTTTCACTCAAAGTTTAGTTTGTTTGAAGTACTTTTACATGAACAGATTTACTCAGCCCAAATTTACTGAGTGTTTTCATTAGAAATTTGGGGAAGGGTATGCAGTGTTATAGTAGTATTATATCCAAGGACATGGCACTGAATTTGGCCTGCCATTCATCCCTTCTCCAGTGGAGTTTCCTAATAAGGTGTGCTGTAGACTAATAAAATCTTAGACTAGAATTCAGTTATCTTCAGTGTTGTAGTTTGGATTCTGAATGTACCCTTAAAAGGCCCATGTGTTAAGAGCTTGAATCTCAGGGTGACACATTTAGAATACTGCAGAAACTTTTAAGCAATGAGGCCGAGTGGGAGGGAGGCTTTAGGTTATTGTGGGACTGGCCTTGAGTGTGACTGTGGGACTCCAGACTTCTCCCTATTCTCCTTTGCTTCCTGACCACAAATGAGGTGAACTCCATGATGCCCTGTCCTGCCACAGGGACAGAACCATAAGACTAACAACTCACAGATGATACCTCCCCAACTTGGGCCACAAGAAACCTTTTATTTCCAAAAGCTAATTATTCCAAGTGTTTTACTATAGCAATGGAAAAGCCAACACAATTATTTAATAGCTAGATATTTTTAACTTTGCACTAGGGACTGTTCCTAGTTGGAATGGCTAGGCCAGAGATGACATATTACTTATGGTATGATATGCTTGCCCCAGAAGTAAAGGAGATCTTGATCCTAAGAATTCTATTAGGTGCTCTTCTTAATAGGGGTAGCTAGTGAAAAGAAAAGAGCCAAGGCACTTAGCCAGGGGCAAGATACTGAAACATACTGTTTACACCTTTGGCAATCTTCATGAAAAATCACTGTGATAGGTGCTGGGATTCCCCAAGCTGCAAAGTGGCTTATAATGCCATGTTGAAGGGACAACATAATCAACAACATTGCAGAGTGTATATGCCAATGGCCCATGTAGTGATTTGAATAAGAACGGCCTCCATAGACTCGTATGTCTGAATGCTTGGTTTGCAGTTGGTAGATCTGTTTTGGCAATGACTAGGAGGTGTGGTCTTGTTGGAGAAGGTGTCACCTGGGGTGGACTCTGGAGTTTCAAAGGACCATGCCAGGCAGGCTCAGGCTGTCTCTGTGTGCATTGCTCTGTTTTGGTCTCTGTCTCTCTTTCTCTGCCTCATGCCTGTGGATCGTATGCTACTACTCCAGTGCCATTCTGCCTCATGCCTGTGGATCATATGCTACTGCTCCAGTGCCATGCCTGCCTGCTGCTGTGCTCCCCACCATGATGGCAATAGACTCTATCTGGAACCATGAGCCCCAAATTAAATGCTTTCTTTTATAAGCTGCCTTGGTCATGGTGTTTTGTTATGGCAATAAAAACATGACTAAGGCAGCTTGCAATGGGCAGGATCTACTTATTACTTGCTTTTGTATGCCTTGAGGCTATGAATGAGGTCAATTTTCTTTCATTTAATTAATTAATTTAGTGTGTGCGTGTATGTGTGTGTGTTTGTTTGTTTGTGTGTATCTGCACATGTGGCATGTTTGTGGAGGTCTGAGGACAATATTCAGGTGTCTACTCTCATCTTCTACCCTGTGGGTTCTAGGGATTAAACTAAGGTTGCCATGCTTGGTGGCAAGCACTTTTACCCAGTTGATGGGGGAAGTCCTTCTGTGTATATTTTTGTCTTATTGGTTGATGAATAAAGCACTGTTGGCAAATAGGAAGCAAGATAGGTGGGACTAGGAGAGGTGGAGGATTCTGGGAAATGGAGACACAGTCACCATGTAGGACTTGAGAGGAGTAAGAGGTCCGTATCCTTTCTCTAGTAAGAGAAGACCATGTGGAAATACTCAGATTAGCAGTTATGGGTTAATAATTATGTCAGAGCTAGCCAATAAGAAACCATAGCAAATGGCCAACAGCTTCATAATTAATATAATGTCCTGCGTGTTCATTTGGAATTGACACAGCTCTGGAAGCACGAGGGCTCCCTGCGGCTACTTCCCCCTAGGCAACACAGAGCACATTATTATATTTCCTTTCAACACCCTTGCCTAGGCTGCTATCACTAGGACAAGCCAGAGAGCAGGATCTCAGGCCTTGGGGACGCCCTTCCCCTATGCTGACCATCAGGAAATCCCCTCTAATCCTTGTGTAAGATGAAGTGTGTTCAGCTGTATTTTTTCAGAAACAGACCCCGTGGCAGACAGTAAGTCCACTGAGGGAGACAATGGGGGAGTGAGTCACTCAACACAGGAAGCCAGCAAGGTCCATGGAACCTTCTTCACAAGGCAGCTAAACCTATTCCTGCCACAAAGTTCTATAGGCAGTAAAGCCCACACTTGACAGTTGCTGCTCCTGACCCAGGAAGAGGCTGAGAGAGGCCAGACGACCAGCCACCAGGGCATCTGCGTGTCTGTGGGGGCATCTGACTCCAGAGCACAGATGACACAAAAACAGAGTCTTTAAAGGAAGTTTCCCATAAACCAATTATTAACAAGGAAGGTGGCTTCTAAAAGACACCAGGTCTTCATAATTAAAGGTACAAAGGATATGCAGAAAGGGGTCTTTTGGAATATATACATATCACAGAGTGCAGAGGTTTGTGCTTTCTACTGCAAATTAGAGTGTCTGAGCAAATAGTAAAATGCTCCTGCCTAACTGTACATTTAAAATCACGTTCAGGGGGCTGGAGAGATGGCTCAGAGGTTAAGAGCACTAACTGCTCTTCCAGAGGTCCTGAGTTCAATTCCCAGCAACCACATGGTGGTTCACAACCATCTACAATTCAATCTGGTGCCCTTTTCTGGCATGTAGGAAGAACACTGTATATGAAATAAATAAATAAATCACTGCATATGAAATAAATAAATAAATACATCTTTAAAAAAATAAAAAATAAAATCACGTTCAGTCTCAACAAGTGGCTTGTATTCTGTCTAGTGCTCTTAGGAAACTTGGTTTGAGCCCTTGGTTCTAGAAGCACAAAAATTTGCATCAAGACCCCCCAGATTTTTTAATGATATAATATATGCTTAACATGACTAGTAAGAATGTGTAGTAGCAGAAAACTCTCTTGGAATTTAAAATTATTAAACATATTTACACTTTTGTTGAGAGTTACTTCTAATTACACAGAGTGATGATTTTGGTGGCTCAGATGACAGATGTCCTTCACAGTACTTGGACACTTGCTCCGCAGTTGGTGGCCCTGTCCGGGGAAGTCACACAGCACTGGAAGAGGTGTCTGCACCATCTCTCTTCTGCTGTGTTCTGGGATGGGCCTCTGGGGTGACAGCTGAAGGATGAATCCAGAGAGGAAGGAAGCTGCTACCACTGTGCTGTCAATGACAGGAAGGGATGACACTTGACCAAGAGGGAATCCGTTCTCCTGTAGGTCTCTTACGGTAGGTGTTTATAAGCTTGCCTGGTGACAGGATGCACAAGCCATTTTTCAATGGCCCCTTGTTACTGTATAGTACAAATAAATAGATTTGTTTAGATTGCATCAGCTGATTTTCATGTTATTTTTTGAAAAGTCAATATGCACGTACATTTAGAAGACAAAAAACATTGCAAAAACATATTTCATCTATTTTAGTCCCTTTTCCGTGGCTGTAGAAAAGTACCATGCTTGTAATCTCTTCACTCTAAAGGCTGAGGCAGGAGGATTGCTATAAGTTACAAGCCTACTTTGGCTACATAGCAAGTTCGAAAATAGCCTGTGCTACTGATTGAGACTTGGTTACAAATATACAAATGAAAAAAGCATACCAAAAGAACAATAATTTATCTAGCTCATGTTTCTGGTGGCTGGGAAAGTCAAGAACACAGTATCAGCTACTGGTCTGTTGTGCCATGACGTAGCAGAAGGGGCAAACCAGTGTACACAGAGAGAGGAATCGAGGGGGTTCTTTGTGAAAACATAAACGAATACAAACATACATTATCGCTCTTCATCTTTTCCTATATAAAAAGGCAGGAATTCGACACAAACTTCTGTACCTTGCTTTCCCTCTCATTAAGCATGTTTTAGAGATTACTTTTCCCTGACACAGAAATTTCTCACAGTATTATATCAGGAGTCATACAGCTGTAAAAACAAGAGTGGTTATTTGTTGGACTCTCTGTTGGCTACCAATAAATTGGACAACTTCACTGTGAGCACGACGTTCCAAAGAGAAAAACTAAATGGTGAGTTCAGTCCCTAAGGAGGGCTGTGCACCAGCTGCAGCCACTGTTGATGCGTACTCTCCACTCAAGCTGACCGTCTCCATTTTTATGCAAGTTTCTGTGTGCTCTTGTGTACATTTTGTCAATCCATCTGATTGTTAGCATAGACACCCCACCCACAGAAGGTAGTTTCTTAATTACAGCGAAGTCTGAGATTTTCTGTGTGCAGTGGCCTGCCAATGCCTCTCCCCCCACAATGCTCAGTTACTGGGGCTCAGGACACACCATCCTTAAATATACTCACAGGAGAGCAAAATACGATACTCCAAATAAACTTGGTGTATTTGGAGCTGGTAGTTTTTAGAAACTGCAGATGCGGTAGTGGCTCTGGCAGCTTTCCCTTTGTAAATAAACAGATATCTGTAAAGGAAATGTACAAGGGTAAACTGTGTCAAGTAGAAGACAGTGCCCAGATTAACCTTTCTTTCTGGGAGACTTTTTTATACAAATTTTATATAAATTAGAAACAATCTTATTTTACATATCGATCCCAGTTCCCTCTCCCTTCCATCCTCCTATGCCCTCCACCGATCCCCCATCCCATCCCCCATCCACTCCCCAGGGAGGGAGAGGCCTTCCATGAGGAATCATCAAAATATGTCAAGTCATTTGGGGCAGGGCCTATGCTCTCCCCTGTGTATCTAGGCTAAGAGAGTATCCATTAATTGGAAACGGGCTCCCGAAGTCCATTCATACATCTTGGTTCCACTGCTAGAGGCCCCATAGACTGCCCAGTGCTCCTAACTGAACCCATGCTCAGGGGGCCTGGTTTGGTCCTATGTTGGTTCACCAGCTGTCGGACTGGGGTTCAAAAGTTTCTGGGAGACTTATTTTCAAGGCAGGCGATCAGGATATACTTCCTCCCCACCCCACCATAGATTAGGTAACTGCCCACTTCTCTAGAAGCCTCAAGTCCCCATCTCTTTCTGTAATAAGGATGTGTTGCATAAACTTTAACTATTTGCTCTTTCTTCAAGTTACATATTTTCCTGGAACTTCCAGATACCCTATGTAATTAAATGTAGCCTCTCCCTGCTTGTTAGTCTGTTCATGTCTGTTTAATTTATAGTCCAGCCCATGAAGTCAGAGAGTGAAGGGAAGCCTGCTTACCATCATCATCTTCAATACATCCCTCTGGGCTCAAGGTCAAACACCAACCAGATCCACTGCTTGAATGATTAAATTCAAGCTCTTGAGTTCATGGAATCTCTGCTATAAAAAGACCAGGTACAGGAACATGTTTATGCAGCTTCCACCAGCAGGGATGTGGGTAGCTGAGGAACCCTGTGGACCAGAGTTACGATCAACTTTTAAGAAGGTGATCATGTGGCTTTGAACCTGCATTGGCAGAGACAAGGGTTTTGGGATTATATGCAGTGAGCATGGGGCCACAGGAGTTCAGGAAGGGAGGACACACCCTTAGAAGCATTTCTTGTTTCTGGATTAGTTGAGTTGTGAGCAGTGATGATGCTTAGGGACTCGTGATGGGATTTGAAGGAAAGTTTTTTTTTTTTTTTTTTTTTTTTTTGGTTTTTTGAGACAGGGTTTCTCTGTATTGTTTTGGAGCCTGTCCTGGAACTCTCTTGGTAGACCAGGCTTGGTCTTGAACTCACAGAGATCCACCTGCCTCTGCCTCCCGAGTGCTGGGATTAAAGGCGTGTGCCACCAAAGCCCGGCAGGAAAGTTTTAACATACATTCAAGAATACGAAGGCTATTTTGTCCTCATAATTTACTACCTTATTAACTACCCACATCTCTCTTCTCTGCCTTCCAACCTTTATGATTACACTTAGCTTACCTCAGGCTGTTTCTCTTATCATGACTTGAACTGAACAAGATACCCCTGTCTTTAAAAGAAGACAAAAGCGTATTCCTTCAGGAGGTTTTAATAATGTGTATGTGCAAGTGTCTGTGTTTGTGTGTGGGTGCACACATGTGTGATACTGGAAACTTGAAACAGCACTTTGTATATGCTAAGTAATGCTCTATCACTAGGCTATATATCCAGGACAAGAATTCAACTCTAACCTGTGTATATATGTAGTAAGCTTTCCTCCCTCTCTCCCTCCCTCCCTCCCTCCCTCCCTCCCTCCCTCCCTCCCTCCCTCCCTCCCTCCCTCCCTCCCTCCCTCCCTCTATTCCTCTCCCCCCCACATACTTAGAAAAATAAACATGAATGTGATTATCTTGATGTACTCTAATTATTTAATTATGGTGGATTTTACTATGTTTCTTGAAATGTATATCTCCCTTTTCTTGTGTTTGTGGTGGTTAGACCCAAGGCTTTGCATATAATGCAAGCTCCCATGATTGAGCTATAGCACCAACATTGCCTATCTATTTTTAAAAGTTTATTCTATTATAAAATACTTAACAGAAAAAGATTGGCTATATTTAAGCACACACTGTGAGTGATTATCAAATCATTACTGATTCTATCAGCACTATGATCAATATACATTCATATCATAAATCAAAGTTGGCTCCTTTTGATCAACATTTCCTACCCCCCAGCTCCTGATAGCCCCTATCCTGCTCTCTGACTCTTTAACTTCAATGATTTTTATATTCTCCAAGTAAGTGAGATTATAAAGTATTTACCTGGCATATCTAACTTGCAAAATGTCCTCTACATTATTTTGTGCTGGTAAAAACAACAGTATTTCCTTTCTTGTGACTTAATAGTTTTCTACTGTATATGTACTTTAATTTCTCTAGATATTCATTCACTGATGTCCATCTCAGTTGTGCTTCTTGACCTAATTTTTCCCTTCATCTTATTATTTTTTCCAGTTATGTACGAATCTAAAGATGTCATCACAACCTGGAAAAATTATCCGTAGAGCCTATCCTTGTTTTAGAAGGGATATCTTTTTAAAATATAAGTTTAGGTTTTACTTTGGCTAGTTACTACTTAATAAAATAAGCAGGATTTTAGAATTTACTAGGTTGGTAAAATTTTAGTCTCGGGCGAAAAAAAATAACCAAGATATCTTAAAGTAGATGAATGGAAAAATAAGCTGGGATATATCCAAACAGTGCCAGAAAGAAATGCATTCTTCAGGCATAAAAAGCCAAGGGAGGTGGGAGAGCCAAAGGAGGGCCTTAAGTGCATATACAGCTATGCGAAAGAAGCCTATCCCAAAACACAACCTGCTGGGGCCAGAGAGACGGCTCAGCAGTTAACTGCTCTTCCGGGCTGGGTTGGAGTCCCAGCATCCTACATGGTGGCTCCTGACTCACTGTAACTCCAGTTTCAAGGGAATCTTATGCTCTCTTTTGGCCTACACAAGTATTAGCATGTAAGTGGCCCGCAGACATATATGTAGGCAAAATATTCATACACATGAAGGAAATCAAATACAAAATTTAAAAAGTCAACCCAACTATAATATTACAGAAAAAGAAAACTATCAAGAAAAAGAATGGTTATATGAGCTTAGAGGGGGCAGCATGAGTAGGTGGCATTCAAAAATGGTAGGTACACACTATTGCACCTCTGTGCAAATCCGTAGATTGTAGGATGACAGTACTGAGCCAGAGTATAAACAGTAGACTTGGGGGATGATTATAATGTATTCATGACAGCTCATTAATGTATCGGAGCCACTTTTGTGGGCAATGCTGGTATCAGGGGTTTAGTGATGGTCTCTTATTGCTTTGACAAAGTACCCAACAAAAGCAATTAAAACAAGGAAAAGTTCATTTTGATTCCTGACTTGTGAAGGAGTCTGGTTAATCATGACTGGAAGATATGACCACAGGAGTATGAGGCGGCTGTTCACACTACATTCATACTCCGGGAAATGGGAGAGATGGATGTTGGTTCTCTCCCTCCCTCCCTCCCTCTCTCTCTCCCTCCCTCCCTCCCTCTCTCTCTCTCTCTCTCTCTCTCTCTCTCTCTCTCTCTCTCTCTCAGTGTCTCTGTGTCTCTGTCTCTCTCTTTCTGTCTGTCTCTGTCTCTCTGTCTCTCTCTGTGTCTCTCTCTGTCTCTCTCTATCCCCTGCCTTTCCCTTTTCCCTTTTAATTCAGTTCCAGACTCCATCCAGGCTATGGATGGTGCCACCCACATCCAGAGTGAGTCTTTTCTCCTCCATTAAATCTTTGGAAACTCTCAGAGATGCATCCAGATTGTCTCTTAGGCAATCCTAATTTCAGGTAAAGTAATAGTGAATGTTAATCAGTCTAGCAGGGGCTTGCAAGGGTGGAGTGCACATGGGTGGGAGGGCATGGGTAGAAGGATGAAGGAATGTGTAAGAAGCCTATTTCCTGCCCGTTTTTGCTGTGAATGTAAAACCTACCTTAAAAGGAAGTCAATGTTGAAATGAAAGTTTAAACATCAGTGAGTGATATTTGGGGTCAAAGTCCTCAAATGGGTTCCATTTGGGACTTTTTGTTGATGTTTGTTTCATTTTTGTTTTGTTTTATTTTGCTTCAAATGATACAGGACTGAGAAAGCATTATTCGGTGCCCTTCAGTTAGTCTAGAATTCTCCAGCTGAGATATTTGACCTTCAGCCTTCGGCGGTGAATGTAAGAATGGAAAGCATAAATATCCTCAGAAATGAAGTAAACATCTTATAAGAGAATCTGTTGAGAAAAACATTGGCACATATTGGTATTGAGGGTGGGATGACAAGGCATGTACAGAATGGCTAATGTGTAAACTTAGCGCATGTGCCATGAGGGGGCAAACTTGGACATTAGTGAGTCTGCCAGTTATGATACTCAACATCAGAGCACCTGTTTTCCTCCAGGGAGTATTCTCTCACCTCACCCACAGTCCACTTGGGGCCCCACTTGCAAGGTCAGGCTGTAAGATTTGCTCAGATTTAATGGATTCATCACACCCTAGCCATTGAGCAAGTGATAGGCTGAGAAATGGGCTGAAAGGTAATGAATGTTAGAATTTTAGTTGCTAAAATGAAGCTCTAGGTGTGTGCATGCCTGTGTGACCTCACCGTGCTCAGTCACAAGGTGGCATACTGTAGAGGAGGAGGCACCTTTTGTCCATCCTCTGGGTTTAAATCCCAGTTTTCCTTCTCCACCAGCTTCTAGTAGTCGTGTTCTCAACATTTTTACTTGTGGAAGTAATAGGCTTCCCAAACTTGGGCACCAAATGAATTTTCCTTTCTGTCTTTTTCAACTCAACAAGCGACATCTTTGTGTGTGTGTGTGTGTGTGTGTGTGTGTGTGTGTGTGTTCCTCTGTATTGTTTTGGAGGCTGTCCTGAAACTCGATCTATAGACCAGGCTGGCCTCGAACTCACAGAGATCTGCCTGTCTCTGCCTCCCAAGTGCTGGGATTAAGGCGTGTGCCACCAATGCCTGGCAGCAAGCGA